TGATGGACCATCTCTATTATCGCGCCGAGAATCTCAACAAGCTCGTTATCAAGAAGATTGGAGAAAATCTGAAGGACGGCGAGAAATTGCTCTCTTGCAATCTTGCTAATTCCCTAACGGAGACTGCCAGTGCTGAGTGGGAGCGTCTGTCGCAGCTGGAGGAAGGAAGCTCGGTTGCTTTGGTGGGCAGTCTGGCCGCGTGTGTCTACAACTTCAACGGTCCGATGGCTACTAGTATGAAGGTCATCGCTCTACTACGTCAAATCTTTCACTATGCCAATAACGATCGGTTGAAGGAGGCGAGGAGGCTTATTACAGTCTCCAACGTGCATGAGAGAGTTCCTCCTTCGCTGAGTGGTGCTGGAGCTGATGTGAATACCCAGGTCTTGTACAACAGGGCGTTGGCTGCTATTGGTATGGCGCATTTCCGAGCCGGAAATGTAGCGCAAGCTCACAAGTAGGGGAGTGTGATGAAAAATGCAGGGTGTGGGATTCGAACCTGTGCAGGTATCTTTATGAGCTATGTGGTCAGAATCGTTGTCGAGAGCTCTTGGCTCAAGGATACAGTCGAGTGTCAACTATGCGTGGAGAGGTGAGGCTGGGTAATTTCGTGGCGCAGTGACGGAGTTCTTGATCAGGAGAAGACTCCTGAGCAGGAGAAGGCTGAGAGGCGCCGTCGTCTTCCCTACCATATGCATATGAACCTCGAGCTCGTCGAGACCGCCCACATGATCTGCGGCGTATTGCTGGAGGTCACTCAAATGGCATATCACCGTGCTACTGGTAGGATGGTCGCGGGTTCGAATCCCAGCGAGGACACAATTATTTTTTCGTCAGGTGCGAACAGCCCCCTTGTGAACAGAGTCGTCCGTCGATCTCTCGAGTTGATGGACCGTCAAACCTTCCTTGGTCCTCCCGAATCTGGTCGCGACTCGGTCCTCTTTGCTGGCAAGGCCGCGCTGTCTGCAGACGTCGACCGTGCGGTGACTTTGATAAAGTCGTTGAAGATCTGGGATCAACTTCCTGCTACTGTGCTGCCTCTTATTGAGGAGGGCATGAGGGAGACGTGCCTGCAAGTGGCCTTGTATAGGAGTATGCTCACTCACACGTCGGTCGATTCGCAGCAGCTATCGCAGCACTATAAGGTTGACCATAGCACTGTCAATGGTAAGCTATTGGTACTGTGTTGGACTATAGTGTTTTTCAGCTATGATTCGACAACTGATTTTCCGAGGAGAGTACCCTGCGCAGTTTGTCGCGGAAGGTGAACTTGGCGATGCTACTGAGGATAAGATGCTCTATACCAAGTAAGAGTTGTGAGGAATTATTTCTTTCCACATGAACAGAAAAATATTCATTACTATGTTTATGAATAGATATTGGAGTTTCACCCGTTTTTTGCGAAGTGGCGTAAAACTCGGTGAAAAACGCGATATTCGCGGTGATATGCACTAGTCGTGGAATATGTTTTTCACTA